TGTTCTTTTTTCTACTAGACATTCTGTAGAAATTTGTGGAACTGTAGTATCAGTGTAAAGACTGCTGTACCAGAACGTTAGCATTTTCTATTCACCTTGCATCTCTGTGTATGATGGCAAAAAGTTCATAGCAAGTGAAATCTTGTGTTAGGGCCTCTATCTTGTCCCATTAGATTTTCTTTTTTTTGTTGGCAACACCAGGGATCTGAAAGTCAGCAAGACCCAAGTCAGTGACTGTGTATCATTGGCAATAGCTTTTAATGAAGTAAAGTAAAAGCAGTGCTTAAGCTGAGCAAAAATGAGATGGATGCAAGCAGAATAAAGCTGCCTATGGTATAGCATCATATAACTGTAATTAACAGCAACAGCATTGTGGTTAATAATGTGTATAATATTGAATTAATGTATATTTTGAAAACCTTTAAGATGTAATAATATGTATTTTTCTTACATTAATGATGTTTTCAAGATACCTGTAATAGTCTGTGCCATCAGGAGGGATTTGTTCTGTTGAGAAGGGGGATTCTGGAAGCCTGGGGAGGGCTGGCAGCAGCCAGCTTTCCCACCACTGATGGTAGTTCCTGGCTGGACACAGTGAGAATTCCAGTGGGGAAAAGCTTGCAAACATCTAAATTTTTAGCAAGCACGACTTAACCCTGTCATATAAAGATAAAAATGTTGGAGACAGTAGTGCCTTGTCTACTGGAGGACTTGTATTTTATTAGGTGCAAATCTGAACTAAAAATGAAACTACTGTAAGCTTCAAATAATTTTTTTTCCTCAAAAATAATAGTGTAGTCTTCTGACAACATAGAATGCATCCTACAGTTTTTAGAAAAATAAACTCGATTCCTGGATCCTCTTGAATCAGAGTTATCTTCCAAAGTATTAGAAATTAATCTAAATTAAGAATGAATGAATGAACCGACCAGTAGAAATACTGTTTTTTTCATACAGCAGATTTTAAATGTTGTCAAAAGACTTTGTTGGTCAGGAACCATAGGTGTGTTCTTTCAGGGTGGAGCAGCTAAAATCAACTGTGACAAAAATTGTTCTCCCACAGCCAATCAGGAGATACTGCAGAAGGTGGAAGTGGAGTATGAAACAATGCCTGGGTGGAAGACTGACACAACTGGTGCACGGAAATGGGAGGACCTCCCACCCAAGGCTCAGAATTACATCCGCTGTGTGGAAAACCATGTTGGAGTGCCAGGTAAATCTTTCTGTAGCTGTGCGTGCGAGGATACTGCAGCAGGGAGTGTCTTGATTTGGGCAGGAGGCAGTGGAGGTGCCTGTGCTTGGGCTGATGATGATACGTGACGGCTTGCCAAGCAGCAGCAGAGAGTGGGGTTCTGCAGGCAGGTCTGCAGCGTTGCAGAGAGCTCCGAGCTGCTGCTGACATGGATTTAACCAGAGGAGAAGTAACTGTGTATTGTTCTTGGCAAACTGCTGCCGCCTGTCAGTGAAAACTTCGGGATCTGTGCACCGTGCTTCAGTGCATAGCTAGTCTGTTGTCCTTTCACTCTATTTCCTGCAATGCATCCCTGCTTTTGAACACAGATTTCTCTTTTTTTCAGCACAAGTCTGCCACTTTGGAAAAGTGAGAATCTTAACACGATCAGTCTATAAAAGTTAAGCCATCCAGTTTTCTTCAACTCTAGTTGCTAGAGCTCTAGAGGTGCCAAGAGCTAGGTATGGCAGGAATGGTGGAATTTGGAAGGGAATTTCCAGTGTAGCAAACTCAGAAAGCTGTCACGTGTGCTTTGTTTTCTGTAAAGCAGCACAAATGTCACATTTGGGGAGTATGGGCTAGTTAAAACTACCAATGCCAGTACTGTTCATGGATTAGGAAGCGTCTGATAACAGAGCCTGAAACTCATTGAATGGCCCATGTGTGATCATGAACACAGATGTGGGTGATGGCATATGTCAGTAAAGCTCCCCTGCCTTATTTCTTTGGTTCTCAGTGCAGAGGCCACCCACAGTGCCTTCGTGGGTTTGGCTAAAGGGGACCCACCTACAGGCAACTCTATATCCATGGGTAATAAAAACTAGCGGAACAATTATAGTATGGTATTGGTGGTGGCTGCTCACGCTGGATAATGTTTTTAATTTCAGCCTTACATTTAACAATATTTTAGCATGTGTGCATCACTGTCTCTCGTCCGCATCAAGAAAACTTCACAGTCTGGCAGAGCTCTTGCTGCTTCTCTGCAGGGATTTAGCTAGACATCCTATCACTCAAGACAATGACAGTTAAACCTGCAACAAACCTGCTTGGTCTTCTGTTAGACCTTCCATCTGCAATGCTTTGTGTTTATGGTATAATTATTTCATGCTTTCAAACTTCAGTATGTTGCACTTCTAGTCCGATAATGCAGCAGGAGTAAAGTGATTTTTGACAGTAAAACTGTCTAGCATTGTGTTTCAGCACAAAGTTGGCCAGTTTGTAGTGACGCGTAATGAAAGGTGAAAATTACTCCAATTCTTTGATTGTAATATTTACTCTCAGTAACTGTTCTAATAGATGTGTTTTCCTCCCTAGTTAAATGGGTTGGAGTTGGAAAATCAAGAGAGTCGATGATCCAGCTGTTCTAAACAAATGAAGAACTTCGGTGATGAGAAGCACAATTTAGCATTCATCTGTTCTTTACTGCTTCTTCTTTAGATGGAAATGCTATTTAAAACCAACATGTTCTTCTAGGAATCAAATAGAAACAAAACATATATTCTGTATTGTAACATTTTATTTATCTTTAAGTTCTCAGTAAATTCAGTACAAAATCTTGTTGGTGGCCATCATCCAAAAAAAAATTCATAGAAGTATTCTTAATAAAATAAGGAGAAAATATTTTTTAAAATTTGAGCCATGTTACTATTTTGAAAGTATTTTACATCCATATAGTTATTTCTTTTTGCTGAAACCAGTATTAAAGCCTTTTCCAGTAGTTACTAGGTAACTTTAGAATTGTGAAGCTTGGATTTGTTCTTCCACTTCAAATGTTAAAATATCTATGTATCTGAGTTGGCAGAAATAAGACAGATACAGTGTACTTAAATTGCTTGGATTATACAGATTTTCAGTTTCTAAAATACAGTGAAGTTACATATTTTTGACTGCGCAAAGCAAACAGTTATCTGTAATTTCTATATGATTTTTTTTTAATAGCCCACTAAAATGAATGGCGAGCAGCTGAAGTATTTTATCACAGAGCCTATTCTAGTAACGCAGATAACATCTGTAGAGGGGCCAAACCGGAGAAAGTTGACCTGTTTAATAATTCTTTCAAATATCCTATGTACTAACAGACAATCCCTGTGGAGACTATCAGGTGTGCAGTCTTTATTTTATGCAATAGGGAAGGAGTGAGTGAAGGTGGAAGGAAGAGAGCCTACTGGGTACAAAACAACATAGGGAGAGTGGAGCTGAGACAGCACGCTGTGTTTTCTCAGTGAACCTGAGACATTTCTTTCTGGCAGTGCAGTGATTGTAATTTCCAAAGTTTTACTGTAGTTCTGTGCTGAGGAACTTGGGACTTGCAGCTCTGTAAGGCACACTCGCTTCCACAGCTCCTAGGTTTCCAAGAATAAATCAATGCATGACTTAATGATGACTGCTGCAGTATTTACACCCCTCACATTTTGACCTTCCTCAGCAAAATGTAATGCCTATTTATAGAAGGGGATGACATGCGGCAGCCAGGGTTGGGACATGTAGAAGCCATGGAGAGGTCCCAGAATCTTCAAGAATACACTTGGATTTCTTTGTGGATTTTCTAATTTATCATGATTATACATCAGGAGCTCTCAAAAAAGGCCTACCTCTTGTAGAGGAAAAAAGAATACACTAGAAACGGAGTTATTCCCCAACTGTGGAATTTTCTGAGTAAATGTTCCTTTTCTATATATGTCTGAGAGCTCTAACAATATTTTTGTATCATTCCCTAGGGCTGTGGAAATGGCATCACAACCCCAGTAACTGCTATTGTGTAGTGTGTGAAAATATCCCTTTTCTGAGATAACTCCAAGGATACAACGTGCTGACATTATTTGAATCGGAGATGGGGAAAAAGGAAAACCTAGCCAGAGTATCTTGTGTCATACTCATCCCCTTTGGTTTTTCTTGCTCAGTAATGGCAAATGTTCAAACCCCTGTGTGTCAAGAAGCAATTACAAAAATATCGGTACAAGCACACAGCAAGCACTAAATTTAACTGTTTACGGATGTGTTGCTGCTTATAAGGCAGAACTCTTACACCCTCTGGCTGCAGTGCAGTCTCTTCATACCCTGGTTCATCACAGACTGTGGCTTTATGCCACAAGCAAATATCATTTATCTCAAAAAAAAAAAAAAAAAAAAAGGCGCAAAGCCATGAATCCTTAATTCACCTACAACTCCTTTGTTGATCTTTGACAAGTTGTTTAATCTCCCTGCTGCTGTTTTTTGCAGTCTGTAAAGTGGCAATTAGGAATACATCCTCACCTCTCTTGCACTGTTTCTTTGGAGGTCTGTCAGTCAAGCCCTGCAGTCCTTGCTCTGACATTGATGAGGAAGCTCTCCCCTTAGTATTTATGGGTGTGATAATGAAAGAGCAATGAGATTTCTGACCTTATTTAATGTTTGCAAAGCACTTCTGAAAGGTGCTTGGTAAGTGCTAATTATTACAAGCACTGTGAAATGTGCTTCATTTATATGAGGTAATTTAAGCATGAAGATGCTTGGAGGTACAGTAATTAAGTTTTGTTTTCACATGGCTTAACCTTGTGACATTTGCCTACTGGATGATCTAGACATGTTCCTTTTCTTGGCCCCATCTTCATCAGTGCATTTGTGCTTGGAGGTTACCGCTATATTTAAGCTTCTGTTGATTTATAGGTAAAGTCCACAATGACTAACAAGCTGCTCTGTGCTGAATAGCTGGATTAAATGATCAGCTCTAAATGAGGTATTTGGTATATTGAAAAATGTAGTTTTTATAGCTTAATTTTCATGGTATTACTTTCTCTTGTTCACCTAATCTTTTTATTTTCCATCAAGTAATTTTTCCATTAAGTCTCTATTAGATCCATATTGACTGTCTTTGCATTCAGGGATTCATCAAAAACCCAGTGATGTTGTCAGTGGGCATGATGTAATAGGCAATTATCCTGTGACTTACTCTGTTACCATAAAAACAATATCGTTCATTTAATTTCATAGCGTGGATTTTTTTAAATTGAAGTTCTGCTCCTATTGATTTTCATATGTGTTATCATTGAATCACATGTGACTAAGTTCAGGCTTTTATCAAAAAGCTCTTTAATCTACTGACACAATACTTAAAAAGAACATTTTTATGTAGATTTACTTTCATTTTGGCTGTTTCCCATGTGTATTATTTTGTATTGTGTGAAATTTCATTTTAATAACAATCACTGTGTTGAATTTAATTTCTTCTTTCTTCCCAGCCAAATGCAATAATAATGACTAAAACTGGTTGATGCATCATCCTGTTAGATATCTGGATGGAAGGATAAGAGTAAACATCTACCAAAATGGCATAATTTGTGGTAAAGATTATAGTTTTTTAAAAGTAGCAATTACTGATTCACTCATGCACATTAATGTGTTTGACGTTTTCTCACACTTACCCTTACAATATGGCCTTCATAGTCAGGTATATGCTTCCTAACACATGCAGTATCGGATTTTTAAGCGTTTGTAATTTTTAATTTGGCTTATATGGCTATATAAGGTCTTACAGTTCTGGCATAATGCACTTTCTAAAAGGAAAGAAAAGCATTTCCATAGTAATGTGCAAACTATACTTACACCTTATGCAGATTTTTTTCAGATGAATTTTGGATCCACACCTGTTTATTTTGTCCTGAAAGGCATATTAAAACCAATTTAAAGTAACAGTGCTTGGTTTCTATTTCTCTTTTTTAACACAATACACTTAATACAAAAACCTGGTTCAGTATTTCATGCATTTAAAAAAGTAACTAGCGGCGTTAATGAATGAATGGATATTTTCTTTAAATCTACAGATTCTGGCTGTTTGGCCTTTTTTTTACATACTCTGTAAACTTTGTCACAATTTCCCGTTTACAAACTGAGCAGGGATCCACCTTTACCACTGGAGATTTATGGTGAGTCATCTTTAGTTAGCTAACCTGTGAGAACAATAGTTTTATGAAGTAAAAAAACATTAAAACATTGCTAATTGATGCAAAAATGTTCTTGCCATACCTGCTGTCTCAGAACGACCGATGTGAACTTCATACGCTTCTTTATCAACAGCACTGTGCTAGAAAGGAAAAGTAGATACTGGCTTGGATAAATATCACCTCTAAAACATGAGTGGGCTTCAGACAAGTACTGTCAGGGCTTCCAGAAGCCTTTATAGAAATCTCTCTCATCTGTTTTAGGCCTGGAAGAGCAGGTGAGTGAAATGTCCAGTAGATGATGGTAGGTTAATACACAATCCAGGGCAATGTCCAAGAATTGCTCTGCTAATTAACTAGTGTTTATTTCCTTTGCATCAGTTTACATATATATATATATATATATAAAAATTCTCATAGAATGATCTTTGGTAGCCAAAGCAGCTGAGGGAGTTTTGTCTAACTCCATGTGATGCTGTCAATGCTCAAGGGAAAAAAAAAAAAAAACACAAACAAAACTGAGGTAGACTCTGCTGAAATTACCTGCTGTTTATGGTATGGGCACTTTGTTAGGGGAAATAGCCTATGGATTTGTTGGCTACTAATTTAAGTGAGTTTGTTAGTGCTGGTTTTGTCTCTCTATTAGATGTGTGTTGCCAATGAAAAAGAGGGTGCCTGAGGCGTGGAGCCTGCTCAGCCATCACAGTGCTACGTGGGATTTGTGGTGTGAGAAGTGGTATTGCACAGCCTGCTCCAGAGAGGTAGAAGACTAGGTTCTTTCCTTCCCAAATCACAGGTCTATCACAAGTCTAAATAAGGATTTCAAGATTTTGCCTTTTAGTCTCTTGTATACTTACAGGAAATCAGTTGTTCTAAAATACCTTAATGTGTTACTAATATCTGTACATTTCTGGAGCAGGGACTGTGCATTAAATATTTGCCCATCAGCCCCATGAGACTGTCTTAAGAGAAAAAAAACAAAACAAAACAAAACATGAAAAACCCCAGGAAAGACAGTCTTCTGTAAGCACATATGCTTTATAGCTTCCTTTAACGTAGAAAAACTTGGCCAGCAGCTGCATTTTTCAGTGGTTGGAAACAATACAGATTTTAACACTGTCTACAAAAATGTCTTTGGCAAGGAAATGTCTTTATCAGGGAAAAGAATAACACTTGTGTATTTTAATGTTTTTGCAGTCTTGAGATAATGTACCCTTCCTTTGACAGGCATTACCTTTGAGTACACACACCAGAGTTTACATTACAGGCCTGTAAATAGTGCCTCAGACAACAGTGTAAGGTTTCAGGAGATACCTTTACAGTGCTTGATAAGTGGCAGAGCACTTCAGACTGTTTAGGTGGCTGCTGAAGTCCTTAAAATACCCTGGGCAGAAGCACTGAGGACATGTTTACTTAAGGACTGCAGAATACAGTCAACTATACGTGCCCTTAGCAGAGGTGACAGTATCCATATTCATCTTCTTTCCCTATATGAGACAAAACTTTTAATGCTGACCGGACCTAATTCTTCAAATGTATGGAAATGGTGTTTGCCACTGAGGTTTGTGGAAGCCCGGCTGGCCTGTAAATGGAGATGGTTCCATGCAAGAGGTGCTGGAGTCAACCTTTGGTGAGTCTGACAAAATTACAAACTTGGTAACTACAGTGTATTACCAGTCACTACCATAAAAAGCTATTTCATGGTGGTTTTTGCTTCCAAAGAGGAAACTCCCAGTTACAGACCTGTTCTATTTGGAGTTACGGTTTCAACTGAGATTCTTAAAGTAGTGCAGTGCTCTGCCATGAATGGAAACCTGTCCTCTGAGTTCTGAATTCTGGAGTGGCTGACAACAAATGGCAAAGACCTTGATAAGCTTGAGGAGTGGGCAATGGAAAGCTCGGGAAGAAGCACAGGGTTCCCCATGTCTCAAAACAGAGTGGGAAGCACCTGGCAGAGGAGCAGTTCTGCCAAAAAGGACCTGAGTTTTACAGCAGATGCCGGGGTGAATATGAGCACAACGATGCACTTGCGTCTTGAATAAAGCAGATGGCCTGGCGGGCTATAGCAGGAGGATAACGGCCAGGAGGTGGAGGGAATGTATTTCCCATTACTCGTGTTGGTGAGTAGTACCACTGATTCATGCTAAATGTCTGCTGGCGTCCGTTGTAATGGCATGTTTTGTGTCCTTAGTAAATGGGTGACGAAGAAGAGGACGGTTGGGGAGATGATGTGTCATTCTTGTTTCAAGAATCTGCCTTGCTACAGGTAAGACCAGCTACAGTCCCAGTGCAGTCACATGTATGTCAGTACTACGGTTACAACTTCACTGCTTACTCAGCATCCTGTAACATCAAAAATAGGCAGTGCAGTTCAAATTTTCAACTTTGCATTTCATACTCCAATTTTCTTCTGTTTCAGTTGTTCCAACTATTGAGGCTGTGCCCCTGTGGTGGCTTCATCCTGCACTGCAATGACTGTTACCACTGTGCCACGCTTTGGTTTGTGCTACCAAAGTAGTTTGCGCTACTTAAGTAGTGCACCCAGCCTGGGAACTGTGTTCCGTTCGGATGAAACTGATGCTCTCCAGCAGTGCCTCCACTGTACTCCAGATGCTAATCAGAGTTTGGTCCGTGGGACCGGATCAGCTGGTCAGAAGCAAACCTCCACCTACAGTGTGGATATTGGGTCCTGAGCATCAGCTGCTTGGAGTTATTTGTTCGTGTAGCGCTGCACTGCTTGCACACCAGGCATGTGTGTGCAGCCTGCGACTCCGGCCGACTTAACACAGGCTGCGTGCTGGGGCACGGCCACTACATCAGTCACTGTAATATATATTCCACTTAAAAGAATTTCCAGAATATTCCATTTTAGCATGATAACATTAGAAAAGAACAAGTGAGCTGGCCAAAATCCACTCTTGATATCAATACAAGCTGAGAGGAATCATTAAGGAAACTCCTTATTTAAAGTGGTGAAGAGAGAGTCCTGCCTCTAGCTATTATGTTTCGATTTATTTCTAAATGGCCTAATAAGGAAAGAATAGAATAAATGGGAAATTTTTACTACACGCATGTGGAAGGGAGGGCTTTAGCATGAGTGAAGCTGGAGAGAAAGACAAAGTATTTTTAAGGTCCTTCCAATGGTTATGGGAACCTGTTATTAGGCATTTGGAACAGTCTAAAAGCTAATATAATCCCCTGGATTGCTATTTATCTGCCACCTGTTCCTAAAATGGAACACTTTAACTTGTTACAGTGAATGGATAAAGGTTGCTTGCAAAACAAGACAGAGAGAGGAAGAAGACTGATGAATATTTAAATTCACAAAGCCAAATCAGCCACCATGGATATTTTGTCTGGCACAGCTGAAAACAGGAGGCAGAATTTTCCTCACTTTGCTCTTTTCCAAGCTTGTAAGATCTTTGCCCTTTGAGAAGGCATCTAGTCTCAATTTGCAATGTTTGTGATTTACACTGTCTGTGATTTTTATTCCAGTATACCTGTTTATTTCTAATTATATTTTGGAGTAGTTAGAAGCATTGGCTGGCAGGCAAACGTTTATTATGGTTGTCTTACAGATGGATCAGAAACAAAAGTCTTAAAACGTGTAACTGCTCACTGGAGTATTTAAATCTACACATTTTGTAGGCAAAGTCTATTGTAGGCCAGGCCTGAATGTGATATATTTAATTAAACTGGTCTCAGAGCAAAAGCGATGCCAATTCTTTCAAAGGGATTGGTGTGATCCTGAGGATTATTGGTAAACCTGAGGAAGCTTCTGGCAATTCAATGTGTTTAAAAGTACTTTGAGGAAGGGAGGTGAGCAGTGAGGTATCAGTGTTTGCTGCATTATTGTTAAAAGTCAAATCCAAAAGCCAAGTGGGAAGAGCTACAGCTATGTATTTTTGAGGCTCTCATGATACCGAACAGGCAATAAATTGGCAGTGTCAGTAAGTACACAGTACACGTGGGGGAAAAATAACCTCGGTTATACACGTGGAGTGATGGGTTCTGAATGAAGTGATTAACACTCAGGGGAGTGATGCTGTGAACCGTTTATGAATAGTTCCCTGAAAGCATCAGTTTGGTACTTCAGTAGTAATCAAAATGACAAATCAGCTGTTAGGAATTACTAGGGAAGGGACCAAGAGGAAAACACCTTTAGGTTTGTGTGGTCCAGATGCATAGTGTGCACTGGAGGAAGGACGTTCGAGACTGTGAGAGGGATGGAAAAGGACGCCCGAGGCTGTTTGTGCCCTTCAGCTTGGGTATGCTGGGTGCGCCCGGCCACCTAGGCATCCCCACCCAGGGCTTTTCGGGCTCCCTCCCTCCCTCCCCACGCACCCCAGACTCTCTCTGGAGCACCAGTGTATGTTTAAGGCTTCCCGTGCCATGCTCTGACGAGATGCTGTCACATCTCACACCGGGACGTGGCACGGGTGATGTGGATCGGGCCACACTGCAAAGGAGTGCCTCAACATGACAGAATATTTCAGCTTGAATAAAAGATGAAGGAGGATGATATAGCAGATGTCTTTATAGTCACGGGTGTTATGCAGAGAGCCAATAGGGAATGGTTATTCGTTATTTTTTATAAAACCAGATATAGGAGCCACGCAAGGAAATTAACAGGAGGCAAACTGAACACAAACCTGATGAAGCATTTTTTTAAAAATAACATACTGCTAAGTTATAGACCTTGCTAGACAAAATAAGAAATTAAACATTGCCAGTTTTGAGAAGGGGACTGGACAACTTTGAGAAGAGTGGGACTACAGTTACACATTAAGATCCAGATGAAAACTTGGTCTCAGAAAATTTCTGAACTCTAAACTGCTAGAAGCGATGACGGTGAAATATGGCTAGAGTCCTTCTGTGTCTGCCCTGACTTTCTTGAAGCACTGGTAGAAATATAATATTAGGAATGATAGACTTCGCAAGCACAGTCCATTTTGCTCTTTAAATTTGCTTAATGGAAATGGAAACTATTGGGGAAAAAAATGAAATGCAAGTTTTCTGTGTTCTGTAAGTGACAACACTATCAACCAATTTGTCTGTAATATTCACACAGGCACAGGAGAAGCAAAGTAGTAAGAAAAAGCCTGCCATCTTTATTCTATGCCTTTTTTCACAAACATGTTTTCAAGGATAAACCAGAATCATTGTGTTTCACAGTCACCATTAGTGATTTGGGATTTGTCCAGGTTGCTTTTTCATATTCAGAAGCTGCAAAATGTAACACACAACCTCATTAACTAACCTGGGAGACTGTCAGCATTAATTTTCATGAACACTCAATGCCAGCAAGCTTTGCCAGATCAGATCTCAGACTCTTTTGTACTTCCAAATCACTAGTGGATATTCCTCAAGGCTTATTGCTATGAAACTAATAAAATATTCGGACTCATTCTATTGGGTAACAGGTAACAGCCTGGCAGATGAACCAGTTTCTTCCCTGTAGGTACAGTGGTACGGACCAGAGAATTATTCTGCCTTCCTTACTTACAAATAGGAAATAGCTGATCAGTAACAGATGTTGTTAAGGTCGAGGCTTGCAAAGCAATTAAGAGATGTCAGCACCTGAGGCTGACTCCGATAGCTGCAACAGAAGATTTCTGCATCTGCCATACAGTGGGGTGGTGGCGGCACATGGCACATCAGCCCTCGGGGAAAGTGCCCTTAAATTTACCCTTCAGCGACAGCACCAGCAGCACTGCTGCAGCACACACTGCTCGCTTTCAAATCTACTTCGTATTCGGAGATCCTCCTTCACAAGCAGAACGGTGCTTTTAACTTTTTTCTTTGTATTTCATCCAGTTATCAGTCAGTTGGGTTCCATCCACGCTTACCCTGTGCCATGCTAATGAAATGTGTGATCTGCAGCCCTCTACCCTGACAGGCCTCCACCTGACTGCAGTTACATTCTGAGTCACCCGTATTCCCCAGAGAGCTTCAGGGACATCAGAGTGTATGTCTAATGCATATTTACAAAGAAATTTCCTTAGAGAGGAAGAAAAGACTGTGAGATTTCAATGTGCGGTAGTAAGTTGTCTGCTGAACATCTTTAAGCATGCACTTGAAAGTACATGCAGAAAAAGACAAATCAGAAATCTTCACAGCTAAAGAAAGCGTGGCAGGAGTCAGACTTGGAGCTCAGAAGGGATTTTTGTGAATTACTGTGCATTACAACTGTAGCTTCCATTGCACAGACCACAAGGCTGGGCTGATGAACAATCTCTCTCAGAAAAAAAAAAAAATTACATTAACCTGTGTGAAATCAGTGTGGTTGTACCTGCAAACCAGTAACAGTTCAGCAGCTAGTGGAAGCATGCTTTTGGTGTTCCTTGATGGAAAAAATCACTCCTATACTTGGTTGTGATTTTGTCCAGAATCCTACTGTACATAGAGGTGAAGGCCAGAGTTCAGAAACCTCTCCGGAAGAAACAACTGCGGTGACTGCGTTCTTCAAATGACACAAATCATTGCACGGTGAACACTAACACCGGTTTTAAAGACCTTGTTTACACAGAGGGATACAATGTATTTTGAAAATAGGCGTAGTTCCCAGGTTGAGTGCTGCTTGGATTTGAATTTTTCATCCATAGAGCGATACCTAGACTGCCAGAGACAGTCTACCTACCAATTCTTGCACTATTTCGTAGGTTTTACGGCATTTAGACAGCTAATACTTCGGCAGGAGGTTTAAGCTTTAGGAAGAGCTGGGTGAGCCCGAACGGGTTCACTGACGGGCCTGGGTTACCAGCCCTTGGGGTGCTTTGTCCCGCCGGGTTCTTCCCGCCGGTGGCCGGAGGGGACGGGCGGGGAGCGGCGGCGGAAAGCGAGATTTTGCTGCAAACGGAGCGATCGGTTCCCCGGGAGAAAACCCGGGCGGTGCCGGCCCTGCGGTACGGCGGGAGGGGGGCGGGGCCTAAGGGGGCGGTGCCCGAGGGGGCGGGGCCTGGGGCGGGGCCGGCACCGCCCGCCCATCGCCTCGCGCTTCCCGCGGCCCGCCCCGCCATTGGCTCGGGCGCGGCGGTGACGCGGCGGCGCCGGGCCGGGCCGGGCCCGCCATGCCGAAGCGCTCCTGCCCCTTCGGAGAGGCGGCCCCGCTCCAGCTGAAAACCCGCGTGGGGCTGCGGGAGCTGAGCCGCGGCGTGCGGGGCGAGGAGTACCGGCGGGAGGTCTTCGGTGAGGCGGGGGATGGGGGGAGGGCGGGAAGCGCCGGGGCCGCTGCCTCGGCCTGTGTCCGCAGGCCTCCCTCCGGGCCTGGCGGCTGAGGGGGGGAGGGGAGCACTCCCCCTCACGTCCCCCCTCACGTCCCCCCTCACGTCCCCCCTCACGTCCCCCCTCACGTCCCCCCTCACGTCCCCCCTCACGTCCCCCCTCACGTCCCCCCTCACGTCCCCCCTCACGTCCCCCCTCACGTCCCCCCTCACGTCCCCCCTCACGTCCCCCCTCACGTCCCCCCTCACGTCCCCCCTCACTCCCGCCTCACGCCCCTCACTCCCCCTTCACTCCCCCCTCACTCACCCTCACGCCCCCTCTCCCGCCGGCAGAGAGGACCCGGCGGCTGCTCTTCAGGGGCGCCCAGGCGTTCATGGGGGGCGCCTGGCCCGCCGGCCCTGCCGCCAGCCGCTCGCCGGAGCCGGGCGGGGAGGCCCGGGGGGGCAGCGCCGGACGCCGCCGGAGCGGGCAGCTGCTCATCGGCCACGACGGGAAACTGCTGAGGCGCCCCGCCGCCACGGAGAAGGGTGAGTGGCCCTCCCCGCCGCACGCCTTGCGGGGGGAGGCGTCCCACCGCAGTTCTTAATTGTTGTTTGTTTTTGTTTTTGTTTTTTTTTTTTTAAAGGAAGCGCTAAGTTTCAGCTTCGCTGACGGATTTAGAAACTTGCGCGCGCGGTCAGTTCGCGAATGTCTTTGCCACTGAGCAGAAAAAGCACCAACAAATTTTAAAGCAGCGAGGGGGTTGGGGGGGGCGCGCTGGTGCGGGCAAGTGTGCTCGGCAAAGTGCTGCCACCTGCAGCCGCAGCGCTGGGCGGGGAGGCCCCGCGTCGCCGCGCCTGGAACTTGCAGGTGCTTTCCCCTGTTTTGCTGTAAATACATCTCTTCTTAATTGCGTCTTCTCCAAGCAGTTCCACCCGCGGGGGTTTCCAAAGCCTGTTCCTCGTGCGTAAGAACTGCTGATGTTAAGGATGCGTGTACGCAGTGCGACCAGTTTGTCTGCCAGAACTGCAGCAGGCTCTGCAGCTCCTGCAACACAGTTACCTGTTCTTTGTGCTCCACTGTTGAGTAAGTGCCTTTTGAATTTTTAAGCTTCTTTTAATTATATAAGGTCTGAAAATTGTCTTCATCATATGAAAACCCAGCAGGTATCTAGCTCATCTGCATAAAGGACTTGAACTCTTCTCATGTTGCATTAGTAGCAGTAAAACTGTCTGAAACATGTAAAATAAATGCCTGCGTGACCTAGTCTAAACAATCTTAGTGCAAATCTAGTTTAGATTCTCATTTAAATGTTCTCAGAGGCAAACTTCCTGCCAGCAATATTGTGTGCTGACCAGTGATGAGTGAAGGATCTGCCAAGAAGTAATCTTAATCTTCTGCCGTTGTTGTTAACACTTATACAATATAAAGAAGTGTTGGGTGTGCTGTGTGGGAGTCCCATGTTTATACAGCCGATAATGGAATAGGGTGGCATTCTCTGTTATGTTCCAGAAACAGTAGATGCACTGACTTTTTTTCTTGTTTTCTTTTGTTTTTTCCTAGTTATGGTGATGTGGGAGAGCAAGTTCTCTGCAATGGTTGTTCAATATTTCAAGTCTGATACTTGATGAAATAGCCTTTATGGCTAAGATGTCTGTAATTTTCATGAAGTCTCCTCCTTATGGCTGGTCAATTAATCCTTTTAGCATGTGAATTAATTATGGAATTTCTATGTTTTATATCTTTATATTGTACTTTTTAATAATGTAGCTCAATAAACTTTATATTTTGAGGCTTTTTAGATTATTTCGAGTCAACTTTCTCCTTCTCCCTACTTGTGACATGCCTATCTGGAAGGGACCGCTTTATCCTCTACCTGGTGTTCCCTAAGTGATACAGAGTTCAGAGTATTCATCCAGTGTCTCTCTACTTGTTGCTCACATTAGGACACACCCTTATGGTATCAGAATAGAAATAGGTTGGTCCGTGTGTGCTTTCAGGCGAGTGTAAATCTATTCTGGACACACACTTTCTTTGTGAGCTAACTAGGAAAATCAGCCAGGCCTGAAGGCTTTTCCAAATAGAGAATTTGCTGATTTCAGGTAATTTTTTTTTAAACTGCCAAAATCATCTTATTATTTACAGCTTGAATGGTTTTAATTGTTCTTTCCATGGTAACTTTGATAGAACAGTGGTACACCAGGCTTGGAGCAAAAGAGTTTTTCTCAATAGATAAGTGTGAGAGACTAATTTTCCTGTACCCTCCTTGCATGGTCTTTCTTAGAAAGCATCTTGTTTATGTAAGTAAGTTGATCACCTACACTGTAAACTTCTTATTCTCCTGAATACCCACTCAAATAGCTCATGAAGTGGTCTGAAAAATGGTCAACACTCAAGTGTACCTCTCCATAAACTAGCTCATTCCTCATTTTCTTTTCGTATCACTGCAGAGGCCAATGTGCTTAGTATCGTTTGTGCTGTAGGCATGAGATTGTTGTTAAGTACTGCTGGAAAGCTCCTGAAAGTAATTTTCTTTTACTATTTTTTGCTATGTTTTTAAAAATAAAAAGAGCAGACTTTTCATCTTGCAAACCAACCGTGCGTAAGAAAACTACAGTGTTCTTTACCTCAGGAAAACATTAAGTGACTGACTTCAGACTGTAGGAAAAAAGGAACAGATTTGAGAGAAAAAAAATTCTCATGGCACTCATAGCTAATGCTCTGTTTCCCAAATTATTTGCCCTCAGTTCCCCAAGCAAAGTCTGCCACTAATGCTTCCCAGTCTTCTCAACTGTGATTAGTATGTTTTGCGTGGAGTAACTTTTTTTTTTAACCTCTTCTCTTCCACTGTAGTCATTTCTGTTTGAAGAAATTGAAAGGCCCTTGCAATGCAAGTTGAGGGACTTCTCTCTTGTGGGGATATCTTTATTTGATACGCTAGTCGAAGCATACTGGGTATTTTTACATTTCAGAATACTGCAACTAACCAAACAGAACAGTAAATGCTCTAGGAAAGGGTGGGGTGATGGCTACTGCTGAACAGCAGTACTTCATCATGGCTGCATGGGTTTGGATGTATCAGCCCCAACGAGGTGCAAGATGACATTCTTTCTAGCCCCAGCATAATACTTCGTATAACTGTGTAGAGACACTTTAAAAGCATTTGTGCCCTTTAGGGTGTGTATCCCAGTGGGGCCACTTTTCCACCAGGTCAGCTGTCTGTTTGCTAACCTCCTTTGGCTGATGGATCTGGTTTGTTTCCCTGTTCTGCATGCTTTGTAGCCAGTTAAAATGGGAGAGTTTACTAGTTCTTACTCCAGTCTTGATTTTGAGCAACTGTAAAATGTATCTTGTTCCCAACCCTAAAACAAGCAGAAAAAGTTTAAGTCAGTCAGGTGAGCTCGTAGTGATAGTGTTGGTGTGCAGAAATTCCACAATATTGTCTATCTTTTCAAAACTGTAATAGATTAAGTAAAGATGATGGCAGATCTCTGGTGCAGTTCCCAGCTGTCAGGTATCATAGGGCAGATAAACATGCTGTTCCTATGGCAATAATTTTAAAAATGCTGAGTTTTATGAATGGGAAGAATCTGTGGGTTACTGCAGTTAAATCTTAGTTCTAGGAAAGACTTTTAGAATTTGGCTTTGTTTCATTTGAAGCTTTAAGCAGTGAACAAAAATGTTTTTCAGTCAAGCATATTTTTCAAACTGAAACCTTTAAGTATGTGTCTGCTTTTTCTCATTGCCTCCTGAGGGTAAGAGACTGAAAATACTATTTTGCTTCCAAGCTCCCGGAGAGATGAGACATGTTGTTTACAAATGATTTGTGCTTCAAAGTAGTTGATAGATATGTTTTTTTGGTTTATTTAGTCACAGCTGTATTTCATAGAAAGCTGTCCTCTGGAAACAATGGCATGGATTTCATGGTTTAAAGTTCTTATTTGTTATCCTCTAGAATGCCCCTTGAAAGATGGTTGTTCATTAGGACAGATACTCTATGCGGAGTGAAGAGCTGGGAGAGGAAAAAATCAGGAGGGCTGGAAGAGAAAGGTTAAGAGGTTGGGAGGGGAGGGGCAGGAGGAACACAGAACAGTGTGGTCAACTCTTGCATAGAGGTGCTGTATCATACATGTAAGAAATGTTTTTTAGTAGTTACCAGCTCACTTGCTTCACTGGCTTCAGGAGACGTGAAAAACTTCTCCTCGTGTGCTTCTGTCTCCCAAAAGACTCAGCTATTATTGAGGGAAGTTCCTGTTCTAGTCCTGCTAATCTTAGATGAATAATGGAAGGTAGGACTCGGGACTGTTTTAAATCTTCATACTGCCTACAGAAAAACCCTATGGGAAGGGAAGAATCTTTTGTTGAGAAGTCAGATTTTTCTCTTTGTCTTATTAGCTGCTATGCATAAGGCCTTGTCCGTTGCCACTGCTCAGAGAGCTGTACACTGGGTACTCCTAGGACTGCATAAAAGAGCCACAGGAATCGTCTGGTGTATTAACTGAGCAGGAAATTGTTTTTTATACTGTGCTTTGTTGTTGCTGTTGTCATACGTTCTTCCCCTCCTATTCAGTGCAGTGTCAGAGATCAGAGTTTACCTGGTGTTCGGAGGGAAGGAGATCCTCTGAGGAGCCAGCATATTGATGGCTGAAAATATCCTACCGTAATGATTTTACAAGTGGATGAGAAACTTCTGAGGCCTCTATATCACTGCTAGTGAAGTAAATCTCAAAGAGCACGGTTTTATGTCTAAAAGGAAGTCAACTGATCTGATCGGGATAAAACAATTTCTTTTAAGCCTAATACATGAGTAAATGCTAGAAAAGTATGGTTTCAGAGATACCAGATAATCCTTTACAGACAATCTAAGGTGGTAAATGACTTCAGTAGTCTCCAGTATCCACAATCTGCATTAGAGCAAAGCTGTACAATATTATGAAAAACTTCAGTAAAAACATCAAGTATGTTTGAGTTATCTCTTTCAATAACATTTATCCATTACATGCATCCCTCATAGTAGTGTTGTGTTCTCGGTGGGTAGATCAGATCTGGTGATCACACAAATAACTGTAGTCCTGTGTGCACAGTGACTCCTGTATATTTTGCAGATCAGGTCAGAAGCCTGTTTGCTTTCAAAGAGAAAAGTGAGCCATTCCACAGATGATTTGAGCAACCTGATTTGGTGGAAGGTGTTCCTGCCCACGGCCGAGGGGTTGGAACTAGATGACCTTTAAGGTCCCTTCCAACTCAAACCATTCTGTGATTCTATGATCCAGACAGCTTTTTAAAATAATACAGAATCTTTGCTCAGGACACAAATGTAGCCAGTGCCATTGTGTGATTGGTACGTCTTTTGTTTAATACAGCCAGCACCTAAGCCTCTTCCCCTCATTTCATTTTAGTGCTCTACCTGTTTGGACCCTGACTTGTAGCCAATTCATAGCCTTTTGTTTTTGTTTTTCCTCTTCTAGGCAGGTGATAACTAGATGCAGCTGTATTTTATCTCAGAACAGGGCACAAAACCAAAGTTACTTAGGTGCAAGTGAAAGATTATGTCCTTTTTTTTTTTTTCTTTATGAATATGACATTTCTTTGACATTTATGCTGTGCTTTTGTGCTATATTTGCTACCATCAGCTGTGAAATACTAAGAAGTGGCAGCAGTCTACAAATGGTTTAAATCTTCTGAATCTTTCCCAAAGAGGTGGAACCAAGAAGTAGAAATTGAAGCAGTATCTTTGTCCCTAGGTTTGTTAGGTCTGATTCTTTTGAAAACTCACAACTAGCCTCTAGGTGAACTGGTTAGATGACAGCAAATGCCAGCAAATACATACTTCTGTCTTTCACCATGCGGGACCCTCCTAGGAGCTGCATGTTGACTTTGTGTTTTGACAAGATCAGACTAGATTAAGAAAGTAATCCTAGCAAAATTTAGCTGATATTAACCTCCCACCTATGCTGTATGTGTACAAACTTGCATATATAGCTCCTTTGTAATTTTTGGTTAGCTGTAATATTGTTTCATCATGACAGATGATGTAACTATTAGCTATCTCTGCTGCCTTTACCTTCCATCTAGATTCCGGCAGTGCTGACTAGTTAGTGCTTGGGGGAACTCCAGTTACCATGGAGTGTGGCAGTACATCTCCACAGTTTACGTTGTATATGTCACATTTGTCCTCTGTTCTATGCAGTGGTTTACCATCAACTGTCAGACTAAGCTTATATCCCAAGCTCTTGTAGAAATGTGTGGGGTTGTCCAGGCAGCGGGAGGAAAACCTCAAATCACCCTGCAGAAGCACTTTACCAATGGGCACAACAAAACTGCCAGGGCAGCACAGAGATTGTGTAGCCAGACTTTGTGGCACAACGCTGGGTATCGCAGCTTCGCAGGTGTGAAATGAGGGGGTTGGTGGGAGGCTCTTCCAAGGGAGCATCTTTCTTCCAGCAGGCTTTCACATGAGGACAGATGAGGCTAAGAAAGACCCCGACGTTGAGCTGCCTTGTGCTGTTTCTTCCACTCTCTTTAGAGTTTTTTGTTAATCAATCTTACAGGGGAAGGTAGCAAAACTTTGAACATTGTTTTGTTCATATTGAAGCAAATTGGTTAACCTATTAAAAGTAGCCAAGAGGCTTCAGAAAATGTTAATGGTTCTTTAAAAAAAACAATAGGAGCTGTGTAATTCAAAGAGCAACATCACTTGTGGATAGAAAATTGGAAGACAGTTATTCTAAATCTTACTTTCTATTTTATATTAATAAAATTGCAATGGAGTGAAAGTGATCAGACATTGTATATTTTGTAAT